TCAAAATGACATGTGTGACAAGAATGGAGACTAAATCAACTTGATAAACTTTTTTCACTAAGGCCAAAGTAAGATAAATGGCTTGTGACTTGTGGCTATGCGCCACTTTGTTAAGTTAAACCATATCATAGGTGATATCGTGTCAGCGCCGTTACGACTTGCGCTGCATCTAGTTGACTCAGTAAATGCTTTAATCTAGGAATCTACAACAGGGCCATTCAGACTTAACACTCTGAGGTTAGTTGCGAAAAAACGTCAGATGTATGTCGTTGATATTGGCGTTCGATTGGCGTCTGAACGTCAAACGTCACCTTACGACCAAGGTTGAATCTAAAGCAACTTAATCCTTGACACTAAAAGACTGCAAAACAGTCGTTTTTGCCCTTTCAACCTTGGTCTTTCAAGGCGCCTGCGTGGATTTTCGCCGGTCGAAGCGCGCGAGCCTTGATACGCCCGTAGGACGTGTAAGGTTTGTTTTTGGAATTCACATACGCTTGTGACTTACACTCGTTAGAGCAATTATCTGAACAAAGGCACCCTGTATCAAGTCTGAATCGAACCTCGTACCAAAAAAGGGCAATCATTTTCAAAACTACACTCTTTCATCTCGGTGTTTTTGTTTAGTCAATTAAAAACTCGGGCCTGAAAGTTCTATCTTGATGTGTTTTCTTTTTTCCAAAACTCATCTCGCCGTTTTCTTGCTCGTTCAAGGGTTTCAGACGCCGTGGAAGCTCGACTGGACATGGCGGACACGGAGAGGACGTCATCATCTCTTTCCCCTGCACCTCCCCCTGCGCTAACAATTGAACCGTTACCAGAGGCGTCCGGAGGGGGTCGTTCAACCTTACGCGGAGGTGTATACGATCTTGCGTCATCTCCTAAACCAACACTGGAGGCAGGACTTACTGGTCTCATATCTCTTTCTTCCTTTAGTGGAGTGGTAGATCCATTTCGAACCCCTTGCGAAGGTTTCTTCTTCTTGGAAAACGACAGCGACTTTTCAAAGCTGTCATTCAAGATGTTCGTTGTTATATCGAGGTGGTGTCGTCGGGAGCTCCTCGTATCCCGAAGCTCCGGAGTTGGGGATCGGCCTCGCTCGAGAACCATTTCGTCGTCATCAGAAGTCGCGTCTGTTCCCAAACTCTTTCGTCTGTCGTCGGACCGTCTCGGTAAGTGCTCACGCTCCTCGGCCCATGCCTCGCGTCTTCGCGGTGGCGAAGCGCTCCTTGGTCGGGGTCGTGGCATGAAATCTCGGTCTCTCTTTCTTTCTTCAGCTGGAGACGAGGATCTATGTGACTCGGATCGAGAACTCGCACGTTCCGCTTGTTCCCTGTTGATCGCATCGAGATTCTCGCGAGAGAAGTGTGTTCCTCGTGCATGCTCGGAATAGCCATAGGCTTGATTACGTCGTTCCACCACCTTCAAGACAAAAAAAAAACATATCATATGACTGATCAGCTGTACGAGAGCGAGATACGCGCGAGCAATGTTCTTTAAAATTGAGGCGTGTATTAAAAAAATAGGAAGTTTACATTATAGGAAAAGTTATAAAAAACTGCAATGATTAAGACGTAATAAAATCAGGAAAAATAATGCAACATACCTGAGTAAACCAATCCGGCGTTTTCTTCTTGTCCTAATAAAATAAAAGTAACAATAAAACTAAATAAATAAATAAATAAATAAGAATAAAAGATAATAATAACGATAATAATAATTCGAAACTAAAAGTTTATTATTTAAAGCTATACGAGTTTCTAGTTAGAAAGATAGTTTGACAAATAAGAAGAATTACACTAACAAGGTTGAAAATGTTGCAGAAAACAAGCGATTTTATTGGCTGAATACGTACGAATATAAATATTGGTCAATAAATTGGCGTGGATATTGTATTCTTATCTTTTTTGCTTTCTAATATAGTTATTTCGTTGCCACGTCTTCAGTTATTTTTGCATCATCATTATAATATATATTTTACTTTAGGTAATATTTTCACTGTATTTTATTGTCGTTTTCTTCATCATTTTGTTCTTTTTTTTCACTTCTTTAATTCTTTTTCTGGTAACAGGGAGCATGTGTGTATTAGTATTTTGTTGCACTGTGTAGTAAGTTTTTGTCATTTCTTTCCATGCTAACCTTTACGTTGTAATAAGTTACACCAGTATTAACGGGAGTTTCTATCCATAAACCATCAACGTATTTGAATTTTGTTGGCTGGGTGTAGCGGCTACTATACTCCGAGTCAAAAACCCTGGAAAAATGAAAAGAAAATTAAAACAGTCAAACAGTAAAAAAATAAAATGACAGTACAAAATAAAGGTACATAATTATTTGCCTTGTACCACTATATTCTGTAACCTCAAAGTCATAAAAATGGCTTTCATAATATGCTCCTATCGTAGATTAGCCACAAAAAGCAATTTTGAATCTCAAGGCAAAGTCAGTATAACCCCTTCATCTCTTTGCCTCGGATTCAGGGTTATAAGAAAAAGGGGACGGTTTAACTTGGGAGGGACGACTAGAGCGTTTAATTTTGGAACGAAAAGACGGAGAATTTGGGTTGAAATCTCAAGTATGGTACAGTTCATCCTCTGGTGAAAGTTTCTCAAACAGATAAAAGCCTCAGTAATATTCTTTTTTAATCCAGATTCCAGCTGGAATACGTGGAAAAAAATCTATACCATTAGTCCAGCCATACTCAATTGACAAACCTTGCAGTCTGCTTTTGAGTAATGTCAACTTTCCAAGATAACTGAATGTCAAGGTATTTTTGGCAGAAAAGTCAAAGAGTTTTGTAGCTCTTACTCAGGTTTGAATGAGATTTAGCAGCATTGCTGTGAACATACTTCATTCTGACCAGTTTTTCCTTGAAAATGGAAAATACTTTGGATAGCACTTTTGCTTAAATCTGGTCAATATTAATTTGTTACCCATGTAGGCACTGAAATATGCAGGGCACAAAATTGACTCATGAGTCACTAGGGATACGAAAAAAATTTACTTTTGTTCACGTTCTGGAGATCTCATGTACTGGGAATCATCAGAAGGTTTCAGGAGCCGAGTATCACCAATGCTTGTTGCTCTGCGAATGCCAGCTGGAGGAAGGCGGTCTGGGCTGGTGCCTAGTGCAGTAGAATGTAAACAAGACTGGTGTTAGTACTGGTGTTTAGAAATACAGTGTATATATATTTCTATATTTCTAAAGGCCTTAGCTGCATGTCAAAATCAAGACTAGCCTGATGAAAACAGCCCACATTTCACAAGGAACAAGCACATAAATTTCATTCTGATGATGATGAATTTATCCATTAAAATGTGCTTAAAGCATAGCCTGAAAGAAAAATCCTAATGATGCTGCCCAGTTTTGATGACTGACAGCCATCGTTATCAAAACTAAAACATCACAGGTTTCAGTACCCCTAAATAGGCTTCTGAAGGTGTTAATGGTGACAAATGTGCAAAGTCACTCTGTCGAGACTGCCCCTCCCCCCTGGTTGGGGGCGGAAATCACATGGGTCCATATAGGAGATCGCTGGTATGCTCCCTCATCTCTGTTGATGGTAGGAGTGTTCTGAAGCCTATTTAGGGCTACTGACACCTGTGACGTTTTAGTTTTGATAAAGATGGCTGTCAGTTATCCAAACTGTCAGCATCATTAGGATTTTTCTTTCGGGCCTCTGCTTTAAGAACATTTGAATAGATATTTGAACATACTAACCCAATGAATTTCTTCAAGAGTGATGATATATATTACTACCCAGATCTGGGTTAGGGTTTCTGATTGTTTGTGCCACTTGGGAAATTTGCTTCAACCTGAATCAGAAGCACTTTCCAGATCTTAGTAGTGACATGACATTAGTACAGAATTCTTTGTTTGTCAAAAATCACCTCACAAGGGAAACCAGTAGTGGTGGGGTTGCAAAATGTTGGCTATTTAGTCCAGGTTAATTTCTTTTAATCCTGGTTAATAATACTCTCAATTTCCTTTGTCTCCTTGCCATAATTCTAGACTATTTTTAAAAAAGCCAGCAGACAAAATTAACCTGAATTTAACTTTAATTTACAGCAAAGGCTAAGTCCCAGGAATGGGCAGAGGGGACGATAGTCAACAAAGTTTCTACAAGAGATTGAGGCTTTGACCTGACTGGTCTGATTGTTGGCCTTACTCTTCTTAATATACCATTTTTGACAGAAACTTAAAAAATGGACCACCCAAACAGGCAAAAAAAATTAACGGACTTTAAGAAAGTCCACACAAAAGCATATAATACTTTCCACTTAAACCCTTCATCTCTTCCAGCCCTAATTCAAAACTAAAGGATTTGCAAACAAAACATTCAGACATATTGTTCAATTTTTCTTCCATCTTCTTACCTTCTTTCTTTCCACCAACTACTTTCTTTGGACTTTGTTGGCGTTGTTTCTGCTTGCTGTTTTGTCTTGTGCCAGTTGGAGCTTTAGATTGTTTCTTGTAGTCCACGTAATCACCTTTGTATGTACTCTTTCTCTTAATTCTGTCTGGTACATAAACTGTCCGGTGAATATCCGCACGTGGCTCCTTGAAGATTTTTCTCTCTGCTGCGAGGATTGGCGTTTCACTTCTGTCAATTGCTCTGGTGCCCCTTTCTTCCTTTATGGTCTTCTCCTAAATTTACAACACTTCAACCATCAGGCCCCAGTTGTTCAAAGGGAAGGAAAACACCATTTACTATAATATTAACTAAAACGGTGGATAGTACTGTTTTTCGCACAATCTGATTGGCCACTCAAACATGGGATATCCAGTGCTGTTTACCTCTGAGCGTCACCAAACTGGTGTAAGTTATGAGCAAAATGGCTTTCCGGCTTGCTACTGTAACAAATAAAGAAATTTCACAAACAAGCGAAGAAGTCTGACAACATGAACAAGGCGACAAAATTTGGTTTGGAAGTATTTACAGGTAAAGCTTTGTCTTTTTAATCTGAGTTTATCAATGAAACCACCGAAAAAAGTTTGTTGTTTACAATAATGCAAATTAAGTCTTGCGTTACTTCATTCAGCTGACATGATCACCTAAAACAGACTGATTCAAATACAAAAGAAATGTCCCTTCAAGGGCTACACAAATGCCTTCAAACGTTTTATTTGTTTGCAAGAAAACCTTCGGCTGTTTTAGTATATACTAATTAAAACAATAATAATTATATTCACCTCATTGTGGCTAGTGGTGGATATATATCTTTAGTAAAATCCAACTGGTGGCCTATTATCAATGCTGCACTCTGATTGGTTGAGCTACTAATATATAGATTTAGCCAGGGCTAAAAGCGAAGCTCTTGATAATATTTACAGTTTGTTCAAACAAAATATAAAATTGTGTGATACTAAGCAGCGAAAGCATGCAATGCCGGAAAACAGTGAAAAACAACAATAGGTCTAATTAGCAAAAGCAACTTTGCACGTGCAGCACACTTTTTTTGTACATTTCTTTGCCATTGTTTTGCATAACTACAACGTGAAACTTCCAGAAACTTCTTGTTGTTCTTCCAACTAAAAAATATCTCCTTTGTTTTTTATCTCTTGCTCTAAATCCCTGTCGCCCCTTTTCTCGTTGAGCTTCGCTGGCCTGCTGCCCACTTTCTCTTTTTCTCTGTCTTTTTCTTGCTCTATATTCCAAATTTGTGGATATGACAATTTATCTAAGCTTAATACTTTAGACAACATGGATACAGAAACAATTTCCACTTTCCGTTTTCGTCTTTATTGACTCTTTTGTTGTCTCTGCTTTACAAGACGCCGCTGGCTGTGCGATTTCCCACCAAAATAACCTCGAGTTGCATTTGGGTTGCCATACCTGTTGATTGAGTTATTTTTCATTGGTATACCTGTGGTGTGGACGGACAGTCTCTCGGATAGGCAGTCGGTATACGGTGACGTGATTACAAAATTTTCTCGGATAGGTAGATTACTTCATTTCCTTACCCATGGTGCTATGCTGGCGCCCTTCGCGCATGAGAGCTCTGCTACTAGGCTATATGTTATAGTCCACAAGTAGTGAGAAGCGCCGGCTTTGAAAACCAAAACAATGGCGGCTGTCGTCTTGATATTTTGGACCAACTAGCTATAGTTGGATTTTACTAATTTACTCCTCTCGTACTCATGGTCTCTGAGTCAATTGGCCTCATGGGCTTTTGACTCAGAGCCCATTCAGGCTCGAGGAATAATTGTTAGTACCCACCACTAGCCACCTCCACTTCAGTGAATAATAATTGTTATCTACAGTACAGCTCAGAGATAAGTGTCTAGGTTGTACTGGATAAATCACTATCCACCAGCAGATAATGTGATTGGTTTCCTTTAGATTACTTATTGATTGAATAGTGGTTTAGCCATTGAATAGCACTATCCAACCTTTAAACAACTATTATATACCTAAAGCAACTTGAAATCTCAGTGATAGTCTAGCTTAACCTATCCACATATAAATCAGATATACAAAACTTTTTCCAGCTAGCAAGTCATAAAATTAACAACTCATTTCTTTAACTGACATGTACAGGTATTATAGTATTGAGAGCAGAATTTTATTTTACCTCTCTGCGCCTTCTGCCAGGAGGTGTGCGAGATCTATAAGATTCCCTGTCACTTCTGAGCCACTCCCTGTCTGGTTGTTCCTTTACAGTAAAAGTTGGGAAGATGTTGTGGTTCTTCTCATAAGGGACAATTCTCTTTCTTTGCAGTGGGGGTTCATGAATGGTGCCAAGCTTACTTGATTGTAGCCCAGCCCTTGGTGTTGAGCCATTACTGTCGCTGTAGCTCAGCGATCTTGTAACTTCTCCTTTTACAGTGTATGGACGTCTTGCATCAAATTTTTTGTAATGGGTAGAATACTCTGATTCGTATCGCTATGTGAAAAGAGTTTGTGACAATACAAAGAAAAAAGGAGGATCAAGCAGTACACAAAGTAAGAACTGAAGTACATGTATTCCATCCCCAAGAGTCATTAATCCAGATCTCAGCTGTGACCGTAGGGATTAATAAATAATAAAAATATCAATAATTTATGATTCTTTAGTTTGTATTTTTTTGTACAAATTTATGTCAACCTTGGACCTAATTACTGATCAAACTAAATTTCATGATATCATTTATTTTTCAGGGTAAGAAACTATAAGCCAAGCAAAATACACATCTGGTAAATTATTAAAAACTACTATAATTGTTGATAACAACAACATTCTCGAGATCTGCCGGGACAATCCATGCTCATGCAGTTGGACCCATGGAAGATATCTGTTTACTGTATACTAGACATAACAATGGCGATACAGATTAATTTATGATTTTGAATTAGCAATAACGCGAATATCTCACCTGAAAGATTTAAAGGCTGTTTTCAATAAAAGCGCAAAATACCGGCAATATTGGTTAAAAGTTTATTGTAAACAATGTAAAAGAATGCGTAGTCTGACAACCCTAGAAAGTCATCACGAACATCAGTAAGATGCTACAAATGTTAACTAAAGAACTCTTTGAACTCTTTAAAACAAAAATACATCATTTTAGTGTTTAAGGTCTAAGCGGATCATTCGATTACTCGTATAAAGAATTCAGAGATGTAAACATCATTTTGAAACTTACAACTAATTACCGTGCTAAATTATTTACCTTAGATCGTGGCGCTGGCATCTCAGAAAAAAGTCAGATTTTTATCAAAACAATAAATGATATTCAGAGAAGAGTTTAAGGGACTAAAAATCCCATTTACGGTAAAAACCGGGCAAAATATGGCACCAAAACGCTGCAAATACACTAGACCACGCTTTCCGACTGTTCCCGTACACTTGGCAACACAAGACGCTGAGATCAGCTGACTGAACCAAAACGAGGCTTAACACAGGAAAACCAAACTCAATCAACAAACTCACTCTGCTTTGTGAGGGTGGGATGGGGTTGTAAATAAAGTTTGTTTTTATCATATGAAATTATCACAGATCTGAAGAACGCCACGACTTGACTTGAAGGAGATATTTTTAATTCATGAATTCATGTTTCTCATTTTGTTTTGTTAGGAGAGATTGGGGATAGCAATATCATTTTATTTACTCTTACTCTTCAGTTGGTAGAAAACATGAGATCCATCAGGATAAAATGTCAATTATTCAGTTTTCATGATGCAGGGTTTTCGTTTTTATTGTTATCTGTTTTGTTTAATTTATCACTCTATCGACACTGTAGTTTTCATAGTCAAGTGGTGTACCTGTGAAAGCTTCGAACATGCGCACTTCCATTCAACATGAACCAACATGGCGGACTCACCTGCAATTAGCAGCTCTCAATCCGAACAAGTCTTACCTGAGAAAAAGAACAATGGAAGCGGAGACAGGAAGAATCATGATAGGGAAAGATCCATCAGTGTCGTGGGCACCGCAGCGAGAGCAAAACTCGCACAATTAATACAACTGGCCAGTGAGGCACAAGCCGAAGGCGAAACCGATTACAAAAAAGTGGTAGATACCGTGTTTGACTCGGTAGGACATTATTTTTTTAAATTTGTTCCCTAAATATTCTCTTTATTTTACAAGATCAGCATTATATGCGTTCTATTTTCAATTGCAAGGTAATTTTTTTGGTTCATTTAATTCGTCGAACTTGAGGTGATATTGGATTATAAAGTTTAGGGAAGGAGGAAATACATTTCCGGATTGGCTGCGCGCGCGAATCATGTTGATTACATGTCATTTTCTATTTCCTACAAAATATTATTTTTAACCTTTGTGTTACAACAGCTCGTTGGTGGAGTTTTTGATCTGGAAGCGCGGTTCACCATCAAAGACTCATCGGATCTTGTCATATTATTGGAGCTGTTAGGCCACTGCAATGTCTCGTTAAAGGTGCGTGATTTTTCCAAAACTCTGATGTATCTTTCACTGAGCCATCTTGCAAAAAACCCAGATTTTCCCACCCAAAAAATAACAAACTTACAGTACCTCTTGAAAGCTCTTACGAGCAAAGCTGTATGTTTATTATTTCGCACTTTAGGATTTCATTATTAAAAGATCCAACCGTACAGATCTATAGTTATATTGGCATCAGTGGTCTTTTAACAAAATCCAGTCTTTCTATGACTATTTCACACGATTTTCAAGTCATCGGATTAGCTGATAGTGATAGTTTTTGATGGGTAACTTTCATTGTCAAGGGTACAAGACTCAGTAAGAAATATCTTTCTCTCGTGGAGTCCACAGGATAGCGCACTGTAATCTGAGCTTAATGTTTATTGTTCTGTAAGCTTAATATTACTGGAAGTAGACACTGCAGGTGTTATTAACAATATCATTGACTTTTCTTGAGAAATTTTAGATTTAATTTATTTATCATTCTAGGTAAAAAGGTGTCTATTTGTATTTTCACAAATCTTACTTTATCTTGCATATGATTATTTTTATAGAATGTGCAGAATAGAAATAATAATAAATAAACAAATAGATCATCTTTATACTTAAAATTAAAATGTGCCTGGTTAGACCATATCAGACATTGCATGCATGTAAATTGAGATATCAAAAGTCAAAATCAAACTATGAATAAGTAAAAGAATAATGTTTATTTTTTTTTTTAAAAGTATGGTTTGTAAAAAAAATTTTGTTGCCTTAAAGTGTAATTAAAAATGAAGAGTGTGTGTGAAAATGCCAACCCATTATTATAAAAGCCCTTACTTATGACAGTCTTGAATTGTTATGGAAAGGTAAAAATATTAGAGACTAAAGGGTTTCTTTGTTAAAGAAATTAACTTTTGTTAGATGTTAAGGTTTGAATGCAGTTGATAAATTAAACAAAAAATAGGCCTTGATTTGCAGACGGAGGATTTAATGGGTAAGACCTGCTTAAGGCACTTTCAAAGTTCTTAGCTAAAGTTGCAGTTTTTTCCTTTTTTAGGAAAACAACCTAAGGATAGTACATGCAGAGTGCCTCAGAAATTATGGAGCTAAAATATTTTTGTTTATTTTTTTAAAAAGGCAAATTGATTCTGTACATAAACAGGCATGACCAAAATATAGGGACACAAAGACTGTCATGATTCTATAGGTAGCAATATTTGGGCAGAATACCTTAAACCAGGCATTTAGTTATTTTCAATGCAGCAGTGACATTGAATCCTTTTATTATATGGCTAAGCCTGTTTTCACCCTGCGATTGGTCAATTTGCAGTCCATAACTTACTGTACAGACCAAAATAAATGCAGTTGTTCATTTTGCTCTCTAAATCGTTATCCGCAAAAAAAGGGTAGAAAACTATCAAAAACTGTCTGTTAACCCTAACAACCTAGCCGCGGCCTAGGCTGGATAGCGCTATCCACTGGATAAATTTACCGGCACCCATTGGATAGTGCAATAATATTAGTTTCCCTAATACTTATCCACTGGATAGTGATTTATCCGGTGGATAGTGCTATTCAATGTTTGAATAAGCGGGGCCTGGAAGTTAACATCGTCCTGCCAAATTTTGACCTAAATGTATTTGAGAAAGAAGCGGATGGAGAAGTTAATTATAGTGGAGAAGAATATTCTAGCCAAGAAATTGACAACTTCATCCAAAGCCAAAAATTGAAAAACAGAGTCAAGAAAACTAAACTAGACTGGCAGAGATTCTACACCTATTGCCAAAGAAAACTGAGTGGTTCTTTTGGTATAACAAACATACCTTTTCCTGATCTTAACGAGAACCTCTGCATTTTTTTCAAAGACCTGAAAAAAAATGATGGCAGTGACTATGAGCCTGACTTGGTCTCCATTTTTTTAAAAGAGCATCCAGCGTCACATTACTTAGCAAAAACTTCCTTTTAACATCTTCATAAGGAGCGTTTTGGCCGCCAAGAGAAAGAGTTTAGTTAAGCAAGGACGTGGAAACAACCCGAATGCTGGCTGTGAGTTGATGGATGAAGAAGGAGGGAAGCTAATTTGGAAATCACAACCAGCACGCATTGCAGCACCCTCTAGTGGTTTGCTTCAGAGCTAGAGATGAAAGCAGAAAGTTGTATTGGGGAGATATAGTGCTCGACGTGGATGCAGAGATTGGCCTTGTAGTGCTAATTTGGACCGTTGAAAGGAAAACAAGGTCTCAATAGTGCTCATCACATCAATTCTGTCTTAAAGCTTTTGCCACTGGCACCAACAAATGACCTGCTCTTTATAACAAGTTGTTTAGGGACCACTGTCTGCAGAAATCCAACAGCCCAGAGTTGCCATTCTATCTACCTGCAGTTAACCACCAAACCTGGTGCCAAAGACAACATGGAACAAGTGCTCAACACCCGCCAAAAATGAAATCGGGAAATTCATGTCCACAGCAGCAAAAACTGCTGGTTTAGCCGCTCAAAACAGGAAGATGAATCATTCCATCAGTAAAATGTCAGTTTCTTGTCTGCTTGATACTGGTGTGCCAGGAAATTTTGTGATGCAACTAAGTGGCCACAAAAATATGCAAAGTTTGAGTTTGTACGAATCAGCTACCCTCACACGCCAGCAGCATAATGTCTGATACTTTGAGCCAAAGATCGATGAGTAATAATGGCGCCACGTCAATTCTCGAAGAAATCTTTCGCAGATCATTGTTTTCTGCTGAGAGCCAGACGAGGTCAAGTCCAAATCCCCCTGCTGAATTCTGTCAAGGCCAAAGCTTTTTGGCAGGAGTAACAATGAACAACTGTGTTTTTAACATCATTCCATCAAGCTCTGCAAAGCACCCATGTATTGATGATCAGGAGTAGAGGCTGCTTTTTTTTCAACTGTGGACTGCAGCAAAGTTTGGTCTTTTCCCTTTTTTGTACACTTAAAGAACTCTTAGTTTTGATAAAATTTTTATCATGGCTCATTTGCATTTTGATTTTACATTCAAAGCCCTTGTGATGTGCTATTGTCTTGTGAAGCCAATAAAAACTTTCTTTTGGAATTTCTGACGCCTGTCAAATGACTGTCAAATTGCTTGTCCTGCACAAATTTCTTGTCCCCCCAAACAGGAAGCTATATAATGAACATCTTTAGCTAAGTATATAAACAGTCTTAATATCTTTGACTCTTTCTTTTTTTTAATCAGCCCTACATACATGTATATAACCGACATGACAACATATTTCAGACCTGTCACTGAGACCTCAAATTGAAGGGTAAATACACCAAATAGAGAGGGAATGAGACAATTAGGGTATTAAAGTAGCTTAGGGTCACATTCATAGTTGCCAGGGAAAATCCCTGGCCACCAGCCATTAATAAAAGCCCTGTATTTCCACATATATATTTGTTGGAAAGTACTTTGCATGGGTACTGGTATCAATTTTTCCCCCATACCTCTTTGATTTTCGCCTGCTTGTTGTATTTACCAAGAAGGCAACTTGAAATCTTAGTGACAGCCCAGAGTCCAGTCTTCTTTAAAATGTTCTTTTTTTCATAAACAGGTTCAAATTCTAGGATTGCTCATTGCAATTTTAAGAAAGAGCATTCCTAATTTGCAAGCAGCCACTAAAATTGGTTTGATTGAGAGGGTACTATGCCGACTAACACAGGAGAGGGAAGTTGTTGCTGGTAAGGAAATGTAACTGTTAAATATTTCACTGTTCTCCCAAAAAGTCATCTCCTTATATGTATTTTGAGGTTGACAAATCTGCGAGCTGGGTATGTTCCACTAAAGGTATGGCATAATAATTCTTTGAAAAATGGCCAGGGAAAGTTATTATTAATCTTTGTATGTTGGAGGGGATTCAAGGAAGGGTGCAAGGGTGTAGGTTCTGGAAAACCTGCAGAGTCTTGCAATTCTCAGTAAAGTTATGTAACAATTTATTTTAAGGAAACAATATAATGATTTTGTCAGTGGACATACAGGTGCATGTACCGTAGTCATTTTTTATGAATATTAACAATAGAAAGGCTCACTTGTTTGTTTAGTTTTCACAGTTAATACAGTTTATCATGTAATCAGGGCTATCAGTGGGGGCCAGACACTGGAAGCTCTCTTAACATACACTCTCACAAGTGGACAGCTCTAGTTGTAGTAGTAGTCTATCATGATAAGAGGGCTGTCATTAAGAGCCGGGGCCGGGGATTCCCCCTGGCTATTATGAATGTGGCCGCTTATACTTTCATAGAAGAATAGAAGAAAAATAGAAGCAAAAGAAAGCCCTAGCTGTTTCATTCCCTGGCCACTTGTTGTATTTACCTGGCAATTTGAAATCTTAGCGACATCTCTGTGATACTGGATAAAGATGGTTTTCTTCACCTTTCTTCTAGACAAACTTGTGGAACTTTTAGGAATCTTGTCTGGTTACAGCATCACTGTTAAAGAACTCAAGACACTGTTGGCCACTTTGAAGGGTGTGAATGGAAAATGGGTGAGTTTACAGAAAAAGTTTATGTCTGACTGGCTTTACAGTGGGTAGCAAGGTAGATTGAGTAAAGTTGGGTGAAACCCACTTAGGGGCTGGGGTGAGTCAGCGAAGTTGAGCCTGTAAGCATTGTTTCCAATACCTCATTCTGGGTCAATTTTGGCAGTTTTCATTAACACTTATGTCAGACACTTGGCTTTGCGCATGCAGACTCAAACACACCGCACATTTTGACATTAGCCATTTTGACATGAGAAACTTTTTCTGGAAGTGGGTAGAGTGGTGGGCAGACTGAGATTTTAAAAAGATAGTTCAAGCTCTCCTTTTCTCTCTCTATGCTGTTTTCTCACTTGCTTGCTTGCTCTTTTGCTGCTTGCCCACTTTTTTCATTTGTCTGCACTGACTGAGAGCCTAGCTGGCAGTCACAGGCTATCCTGCTGAAGCTTGAGCTTATGAACCTCTGATTGTTAATCCCTATAGTTGATCTTCACTATACCACACAAGACAAATAAGTTGCAAGTTCACTGATTTTTCTTTAAAGTATTTCTTAAATTACTTTGATGTGTTTCAGTTGCAGACTTGCCATAATCTTAATAGTATTGCATGGGTGTTTTTAAATATTTTTCATGATTTTTATCTGTGATTAATAACAATTTTGTTGTTACTTAGGAACTGGTAGTGTAATTAAAGTTCGTAAATGAATGCAAAGTTATAAATAATTCCTAAGTAATTTTTGTCCTTGTTTACAGCCTTGTCATACAGTAAAGTTGTTGACAGTGTTAAAACTGATGTTGGAGAAGAACGGGCCCGATGTCTATTTCAGCTTTTCAGGAAAAGAGGGCGGGGTGAGTTGTTGCCATTACAAGCTCTCTATAGTACTGAACCCTCACAGTGTGGGCCATTGTTTAAGTCACAGGTTGGTCTGGAGGAATTTTAGAATGTTCCATCGCAGGATTATATTTTCCCACACACTTACTGCTTTTTCTAGAACTGCTGAAAGGATACTGCTGACTAAGGGCATTAATTACCTACCAAAAGTCAGAACTGGCTGACCAGACTAGTAGCTATTTTGAACATGAAATAGGCATTTTTTTACAAGAGATTTCACTTTAAACCCATCACTGCAATGCATACTATTCAGTGGCAGATCTACATGTAGGGTAGTAGTCTAGCCCCCACCTTATTTGTAGGCCAAGCTGAGGCCCTTGAGGGTCCCAAAGAATATTTTCAAGGCTGGGCCTCCCTTGGCCTCTTATATTAGGGACTGGATGAGTTAACCCCCCTCTCCCTCTGTTACTAAAAGTTTTGAATCAGCCAGTGCTATTTAGTAACAGCCTAATCTGTGGCTGGACAGTTTAAATTTCACCAATGGTAAACACCCAGCCTCTTTGTTAATGTTGTCTCTGCTATTTTGTGCTTCATTTGGTAAAGTTAATATTTTTTTGCAGGCCATCACATTACCACCCATTTCCAAATGGCCTCTTCAGTCAGGTTTTACCTTTTCAACATGGCTGTGTCTTGACACGTCACATCTTGCAAATGCAGAAAAGTGCAAACCCCACTTGTATTGGTAAGTTGATCATAAGCTTAGTAGCAGTAGGCATGCCTCAATCACATAGAGCCATGAAATAGTATCACTGAGGGTCATGTCTGAGAACAGCATTTAGGCAAGACTGATCCGTCAGTTTGGGTCCCAGTCTACAAGCTATACCCTCTCTCTTCATTGGTACATTATTATAGTACAATAATAGTAGGCTTAAGTCAACCACTGGCTAATAGTAAAGAATAGAAATCTAAACTTGCTTCAATGACTCAATACAGGACTCTCTGATGAGTGGAAAACTTGACTTTGTATTTTCTTAAAAGAAACTAGTATAAACTGTTACTAAAGGTATGGAAAAATGGGCAACAAAAAATGTGCAACTTGTTTTGCAACATTGCAGCAAAATGAGTTGAATAGTGATGTTGCGCATTTTACCACCCACATCAAACCTGTCTTGCAACAAATCAGGTTGTTAACAGGTTTGAACGTGGGTGGTAAAATGCGCAACATCGCTATCAAATGTTGCAAAACAAGTTGCACATTTTTTGTTACCCATTTTTCTGTACCTTAAGAGAGAGTTCTTTTTTAATAATGTTTGGTACAATTTTTTGTTGTTGCAGCTTTCGGACGGGGAAAGGGCTTGGTTATTCTGCTCATTTCTCCGGTCCCATGCTGGTCTTGGAAAGTGCTGTAAAGACTGGCAAACGTGAAAATAAAGTCCTTCATCATCTGGTCAAGTTTGAGTTTCACCCTCAAAAGGTTACATATAATAGTCCAGTTTCGAATTAAACATTACTGCTGAATACAAACATTTACAACACATTCATACAGAGTTAGCCTCAACATAAAGTAAAATATTCAGAAATTCTGGCAAGTAAGTGTTTGAAATTTGAATATACACAATAGACAGAGTAATAAACAGGTCTTTTTCATAGCTCTAAAGTTTTATTTGTTACAACCCACAAGTGAACTGAATAATAAGCAGTGAATTTGTTGAACGTCCAGTTTGGTTGTTACGAATTTTTTTTTACTTCTTATCCAAATCTCTTGCACTTTTTTGGTTTAACTGCCTTATTTTTTACCCCCTCTTTTGCATTAATTTCCATTATTTGAAAGTTGTTTTCCACTAAATTTGCTTTAATTTAAGTTGCATTGATTTCCAATACCTTAATTTCACAGAGCGTTAATTTCCTATAATAAGGTAATTCCAACCTTTGAAAGAAACTTACCTCTGTTAATACAAATAAATCCCAATTATGTGAATTAATCCTCTATCCTTTTATGCCTGATAGTGACCTAAGAAAAATTTCACAATAAAATTCCACTTCTTCTTCTTAAATTCTCTGTCAAAGAGTTTTCATTTGTAACACAGTAGTATTTTGTCCACAGATTTTTTTAGTTAGCGTGACAAATAAACTCATCAAAACACTTGAAAGGTTTAATACATGATAAAGTGTTTTACTTTTTCAGTGGTACATGGTGACAGTTGTACATGTGTACAACAGATTTCATTCCAGTGAGATCCATTGCTTTGTTAATGGTAAAGTAGTTTCTACAGGAGAGACAACTCTGGTCCATGCTAATGAGGTAAATATTATTTATTCTTTTATTTGTCAGTAGCAAAATTTCCTTGGATCACTGATGCATATCAGATAGAGAACACGTATTCACCTTAGGTGATTCCATCAGATTTTTTTCACTTTTGTAACAATAAGGCATTTTCTCCGACTCCATAAGAAGTAAATTTCCTTTTGTATGGAAAGAATTGTTTTGAGACTGCATGGGAGTATCCTTTTCCCCTGGTACTTTTAATGGACAACCATTGAAATGGTACAGATGAAGACATAATTATGGCCATCAGTACATTTAAACCTATGCAAAAGAACAAAAAAAACATATCAAGACCTCCTAACATTGGTGAGTTATTTTTACATTATATGTGTACTCTGATTATTTCGTGAACCCAGCCTCATCTGCTGTCATTTCAAATTCAATTTCCTCATCATCTTGCAAGTTTGTGGTTGTAGGTCTTTTTTGTATCTAAATGACCAGATTTTAAAATCTAACTTAGTGTTAGTCAACTGCTGTAATGTATATATTTTCGGTTTCACTTACATTGTAAAAGATACAGTGCCTCCACATACCCTTTATTACCAGTAAAAGTTTGAAGTCCTGGTGCTATTTTCATTGCTCCTGATGCATTAACTCATTAGTTGTAGAGTATAGCTATGACTGGTTTTAAGAGAAACAAACATTTTCCACAGCCATTTGACAAGTGCTACATAGGCTCATCCCCAAAGGCTGACGAGTCCACTGTGTTCTGTGGACAAATGGCTGCCGTTTATCTGTTCTCAGAGGCATTAAGTGCACAGACAGTGGGTGCCATTCATCGACTGGGGCCCGGATACAAGGTAAATGGGGCTTTTTAAACAGGGACAATAAAATTAATGACAGTGCTTAGGAAGAGGCCAATTTTGTCAAAATTGGTAAATAATGGCTGAAGAAGTAATATTTAGGGACAGCTTTTAAATTTCGAGTACGATGCAGTAGTTACCACTTGGCAATGTTAACAAAAGGGGAAAAACTATGGTTATCTCTTCCTTGGAGGAAAATGCGAAGGAGTCAATTCTCGGTGTTACATCATACTTTAAAAGTCTTGTAAAATTAAAATTATGCATAGCTCTTTTGAGCGAAAAGCCCGGTGCCAGGTTGTTCGAAGCTGGGTTAAGATAACCCAGGGTTAGTGCGAAATTTGAACTCAAATATGAGAGCTTATTTAAAGCAAATTCAGCTTAATTCACTTTGCCTTTAATTTGATGATTGGATACTCTAAAGTGAATAGATAAAATTATGCGATAGAGTGCTTTTGATAGAAAGAAAAAGAATCCAGGGTTAAAATTTAACCCCAGGTTAGTGCTAACCGGCGTTCGGACAACTGGGCCCAGGACAGTTAAAACTTAACAGATCCAAAAGGCTATGAAATGTGACATGTTTTTTGTTTTATCTTAGAGCCAATTTAAGTTTCCTGCAGAAATTGATACTCCTCTGTGGGAGCAAGACAGGAAGGTATTAAAGTCTTAGTCATCATCATTGTCATTGTTTTGGTACAATGTAATTTAATGTAATAATTGATGTACTTAGTGAAGCGCGTTTCTTCTGTAGGCTCTAACTATGTGCACAGATAAAACCAAGTCACTTCCAGCTACTTTCTGGAAATGAAAAGTAGCTGGCTGCTTATTTATAAGGGATCGTTAGCAGTGGAAACTTAACACTTATTATTGAAGGTTGATGCTGATCACTGTGGCTAGGAGGATAGCAGAAAGAAAGAAAGAACGAACGAACAACAACCAACAAACACAATTTTTATTACTGATGCAGTAAATCAGACTGTAATTAATACACTTTGATCATTGAGGCAATCAGTGGTGTGAAATTCAATGTCATCATAAACTCTCTGGGACTACAATCGTTGAAAAAATGAAAAACATGCTCTGTACATAGGTAAAAGGAGCAAAAGGGAACAAAGAATTACCTGTACGGTGTACATGGAGATGGATCTGCTTATTGAGGCAAAAAACTCCTACAATTTTCTCCTTAATCCATTAAAAAAAAAGAAGAACCGCGGCAGTATTAGCTCAGTCGGTAGAGCGCTTCACTGCAGAGCAGGATGCCGCGAGTTAGCCTTCCCCGCAGACATTCTTCGGCGTGCGTCACGCGTTCCTTCCCCACGAAGGAACGCGTGACGCACGCCTAAGAATGTCTGCGGGGGAGGCTAGCCGCGAGTTCGATTCCTGGGGCTGGACCAGTACTCAGGGTCTTAAAATAACTGAGAAATGAAGGTACTCCCTTTGCACTGCAAGCGGCTAGACCTCGCGTGGGTCGGAGGACCACCAGTAAAATGGTGGTATTTTCTCCAGTAGGAGACGTAAAAATAGTGTCCCCAGTTAGCACTTTCGTGCTAAATACATTGACACTTAAATAAAGCGAACAAACAAACAAGCAAACAAACAAACAAACAACAACAAGGTGTGTATATTGAAAATGCACCAGAGTGCAGTTACATGTGTTATTATTTATAGTAAGTTATATGACAAAATTTCTAGTAACTGATGACCTAATTTGCTTGAGAAAGATAAGGATTTTTGTTGTTTTGTTTAAAGCATATTGAAGTAGCCATTATGTATTTTCAGGTGCTGTATGAGGGTCACTTGTCAGCCTCTATTATGTTCATGTACAGTCCTAAGGCTTGTGATCAACAGCTTTGTCTTGAAGCTTCACCAACTGAGAATCATTCGTTCTTTTGTCATTCACCACATGCTCTAATGCTGGAGGTAAGACAGAACACCGCAAATTACAGCATTAAAAAAGATGGTCCCCAAAAGGGTTTTTTAATCCCGTAATCCCGACTTTAAATTACGGCAATCCCGTGGTCACGAGGGTTATTTTTGGCATGCTACTTTCCGCGCATACTTTCAATCTCGAATCTCGCCCCAATTTTACTTTAGAATCCCGAATCCCGAGCTTCAAATAAGGGAAATCCAGGATCCCGTAAAACCCATTAGGGATCCTCCAAAAACGCAGAATGAGTTATTGAAGGTGATTTATGTTCATGGTGATTGGTCAGACAGACAGACAGGTAGGCAGACAGACAGACAGACAGACAGACCGGCAGACAGACAGGCGGGCAGACAGACAGACCGGACAGATAGACAGACAGATAGGCAAGCCAACAGTATTTTATGTAAAATACAATTGTGAAAAATGACACTGATCCGCTACCGCAAATAGTATATAAACTGATCTTAGTGAGCGGAAGAACGTACATTAAAACGCCGCTTTTCGTTTTTTTTTTTCAGGGAGTTCAATCTGTTGTCACTCACTCACTTCAGTGTATTCTGCACTCGTTAGGAGGAATCCAGGTAAGAAAGAAATGAATGCCATGTGTATAATGCGTATTAAGTGGAGTAATTTTTTTTTTCTAACGGTACGTTGATTTGTTTTGGGTTCCTTGTTCGAAACTATTCAAAATTAGCAAAATCCTTTTATGGCACTTAGCTAAAAAGGGTCACAACTTTGAGTTTTTTATCGATTTGTATACGAAGAAGTGACAATGATTATTTTGCTATTCTTTTATTTTTATTTTGACAAAGTAGAGCACTAAAAATTGAAGATAGTGTGCTTGTCAACTAGCACGCGCATTAGAACCCAGCGCGCACATGCTGTAAAATACGACGCAACAGACGAAAAAGAATTTC